TTTGTTTATATATATATAAGAAAAACCGGTCAAGGGGAACCTGAAGTATTTGTGTTTGAAGGGGTGGGGTCTAACAGCGTGCAGGCCTTGATTGATGAGTATAACCGCAAATACGACAAGTTGTGGGAGGCCACACCTGAGCCTCATCAATGCACGCCCGTTGCACAGCCAGCATTGCCTTTGCCATCTGTCACCGCGGTGCAGGACATATGCAAGGCGTACTCCACCAGGTCAGCAGTCCGTCTAGATGGCTTTCACTGCCGTCACCTATCTTGCCTGTCCGAGCGAGGAGTACAAGTATTCATATACCTTCTTGGGATTTCTGAGTGCCTAGGAGCGCTCACGCCTCAGCTTCAGTGGGTTCTCATGGCGCTGCTCCCTAAGGCCTCCAAGGGCTATCGCACGCACCATTGGGATCTTCAGTGTGTTCTACAAGGTTTCTGGGAAGATCAGGTTATCATGCGCCAGGGATTGGATGTACAAGTTTGACCACCCGTGGTTCAGCTGTGGGCCTGGTAGCTCCCCTATTGACGTTGTTTGGAGGCAGAGTGTTAGAAGTGAAGCATCTAAGGCCTCTGGTGAGGCCTCAGTGGGCCTCTTTTGGGACCTGGCCCCCTTTCACGGACGATTTGCGAGAGCCAGGTTGCTTGCCAGAGGCCTAGAGCTAGGTTTTAGTCCTACGCTTATGCAGTTCCATCTTGCTGCGCATGGCCCTGCGAGGTTTGTAGGATACAAGAGAGCAGCGTCTAAAGCTTTGTACGCTTTCAGAGGCATTGTGGCGGGACGTTCGTTCGCCATAGTTATGTCAGGACCTACTGCTTCCAAGGTTTCCTCATAATTACCTCCCTCAACTCGGCCATCTACTTCGATTTCTATGTGGATGACTCTTCGCTCACGGCGTTCGGCGTGAGCCAGGGCGTGCTTAAGTGGATTGTGCAGGCCGCCAAGCAGCTTGCCGCAATGATCAAGGATGAGCTGGACGCCACCTTGTCAGTGGAAAAGTGTTCTCTAGTTGCATCATCTGCAGCACTCGGCAGGAACATATTAAAGGCCCTAGGGCCTTGGGCAGGGAAACAACAGCAGATCGCCGCCAACCTGGGGTCCGACTTCAGAGCTGGGGAATATGTTACCGTTTCCAGGGGCACCAAGAGGGCCAAGAGGATTTAGAAAGTCAAACAGAGAGCTGCGCGTTTGAGGCAGCTAGTTCGTGTTGCGGGCCAGGGAGCACTCAAACTGGTAACTTGTGGACTCTTGCCTGCTTGAGCGTTTGCCTCATGTATTGGTGGTTCGTCTAACAAGTGTTTGGAGCAACTCAGAGCTATGGAATTATCGGCCACTGGACCACAGCGTAGAGGCAAAAGCAGACCAGTTACTTTCGCACTGTAGGAGTCCAAAGCTGACAAGTGGGCCATGGCGCCAGTGGTGCGATGGGCTCAGGGGGTTTGGGCCGCAGGTATTGGCACAGCTGGACCCATGGGAACCCTGGGGATCAGACAATTAAAATCATTCTGGGAGAGTATTGAACCACGCTCTGGATTCAAGGATCGTCAAGTTCAAGGACCTGTTACAGCGGCGGCCCACGCCCTCGACAGGATCGGATGGACATTTCAAGGGCCCTTCGTGCTGAAAACGCACGAGGGCAAGCTGTTCTCGCTCGTTGATGTGTCGCCCAAGCTGCTGGAGTACTGGCTTCAGGATGCCTGCACCAGGACTTCGGAGATTAAAGCTGCCAAGAGTCTCAGACAGATCCAGGATGTTCCCAGGGTGTGTCTTGATGTCGCTAGGAGAGTTCTGACCGCCTCTGGAAAAGCAAATCTGTCTGGGGGTCAGGCGGCCCTTCTGAGGGCCGTATTGCGCCAGGCTTACTGGGCCACCAGTAGGGCGGCTTCTGCTGGATATGACCCAGAGGACTCCTGCCCACTGTGCGGACGAGCAGGCGACACCCTCGCGCACAGGTTGCACCACTGCCAGGCGGAGGAGGCCGTGACCCGTAGAAATGAGCTAATCGACCAGCAACTTTTAGCTACATGTATAGAACACGCTGAACATGATCTAGTTTTGTCGTTAGGACTTCTCCCGCACCCTGAGGCGGACCCAGATGGTTTCCCCCCACCTGCTAGGGAGCTTTCCATGAATATTAGACATGTAGACTCTTCGGAGCCAGTTGCCAGATGCTCTTTGGGACCTCACACGGGCTCCGATCGCACCTGCACTCGATCGGGGCTCAGATGCCTAGATCGGGCCGCCTGGGCTGTCTGTGGGTCTTCTAGGGAAGAGGAGCTTGAGGTTGTCATCGCTGGCCCCGTTGTTTTCCCTCTGCCGCAGACCCCCCAGGCGGCCGAACACTTAGGGTTCCTTGTGTTGCAACAGATGCTAACGCAGGAGTCAACAGCCCATGTTGATTGCAAAGCTGTGCTGGACGGGTTTCACAAACCTTTGGCTGCTAGGCCATCTTATAGGAGCATGTATTCAGGCACGTTTCGCACGGCACTAGGGAGTGACAGCAGGCATTTCCTTAAAGCAGCGTTGAAGGTTAAAGCGCAGCAGGGCGAAGATAAAGTTCGACCTGAGGACAGTCTGCCTTTTAATATTAGCAAGCAGTGTGACAGGTTTGCTAAGTCGGCCCTCCAGATGCATCCGTCATTCGATCCGACGGCGGTATTTTTGTTTGAGGAACAAATGGATGACGCCGCTCGCATTCTTAAGTTCATTCCGAGGATGCGAGAGGCTTGGCCTAGCAATTCACGCAATGATAGAATACGTAAGCCAGGAGAAGTTAAGATTCAGCTCGGGCTAATGCACGACTGGCAAAGAGCTGAACACTTGGAGTGGCGATGCTCGGCTTGTTTTTCTGTCAGCCACTCTCACGAAGCAGTTTCGAGGCGATGCAAGGAACCCTGCAAGCCTTTCTCGAGCGAGTTTAGGGAGCGCCTCAGTCAAGTGCACTCCTCACACGCTCTCTCGGCAGGCACCTGTGGAGACGGCCTGCTGGTTTTCTGTGCGAAATGTGGCAATCATGCCACGTGTGTCTTCAGAGGCCTTCTGGTGGAGTGCAAAGGGCCACCAAAGTGTGGCTCCAGGTATATGGCCCTAAAGAGGTTGCTCAATGGTCTTCACCCTGTGGACGGGAAGCCGTTTCAGGACATTGAGCATTTCCAGGCATTCCAGAGACACCAGAAGGCCAGGGCCTCCAGCTCCAGAGGCTGAAGGCCTACGGGTTCGCCGACCACGGAGCGGCGCACCTTCTGCCCATGAGTGAAAAAAAGCAGCGCGTTCCGGCGCGCTTTGGAATGGCCGCGGCTCCCGATGCAGTTTGCGGAGTCGCGGGACTTCAGAAGTCCCCGATTTATTGTGGTCAGATGTTGTGCCAGCCTTGGCTTCGTCTTATACCTGGAGCCCGCGGATGGAGGAATCGGATCGACGGGTGCCTGGGGTCGAGGTTCGAGGATCGTTGGCGTCTGGGGGGGGGGGGGGGATGTCTGTCGGGGGGATGGTAGTGGTAGGCCCCCAGGGCCCAGGGCATCCAGAGGACCTTTGGTTTTCGCGTTTGCCGCTTGGCGCTCGGAGGGTGGATTCGAAGAGTTTGCGTCTGACGCTGTGCGCTCGATCTGGAGATTCAAGGACCGTTGACAGTTCTATGCTGGACCCCCTTGCGGCGCCTCTGGTGCCACATCTGGCGCTCTCAACGCGCCCAAGGGGGTGGCCCAGCGCCGATCGAAGATGTCCGCCAAGACGTCTGGAAGTCTACGTTTATGCGGTTGTGATGCCTCTCGAGACGAGGAGGGGTGATATGGGAGGAGGGAAAACCTCGACGTTCTATGCCTCTCGTTGATCCTTTCCCCCTGGAGACAAAACGACATCAGAGGTCCGACTTCGTAGCCGCTGCGAAGACACAGCCTCGCCCCTTCCCCTGTTGCGTGCGTCACACAGAACGCCCTGTCGGGCCGTGTGGGGTACACACTCGCGGGGAGCGCGTGCCGCTGCGTCGCAGGGAGACAGGGCCGCTCCTCCCTCCTTCCTCCTCCTCCTCCTCCTCCTCCTCCTCCTCCTCCTCCTGCTCCTCCCTCCTTCTCCTCCTCCTCCTGCTCCTCCTCCTGCTCCTCCTCCTGCTCCTCTCTCTCCTCCTCTCCTCCTCTCCTCCTCCTTGTCCTCCTCCTCCTCCTCCTCCTCCTCCTGATCCGCCTCCTCCTCCTCCTCTTCCTCCTCGTTCTCCTCCTGCTCTTCCTCCTCCTTCTCCTCCTCCTGCTCCCCCCCCCTTTTCCTTCTCCTCCTCCTCCTCCTCCTCCTCCTCCTCCTTCTGCCTCTGTAGCGTCTCCCTCCCTTGTTCCTCCGTTCCTCCTCATCCTCCCCTCCTCTTCCTCGTTCCTCATGTCAGCCCGCCTCCTCGCCCTCCGCCTCCTCCAGCGCTCAGCCCTCCTCGTCTCTCTGTCCCTGCTTCCTCTCCTACCCGAGCGGCCTACTTCCAGCTTCGCCTCTCCTATCCCCCCCCCTCCTCGGCCAAGCACCCTTTATTCTCCCGCCCCCCCACCATCCCGTCCTCAGTCTGCCCTCGCCCTTTCCCCTTCCTCCCCTTCCACCGGTTTTGTTTACCTCTCTCCATCCAGCAGTCGACCCCCATGCCTATCCTGGGGCGCATTATGATCAGTAGTTTCAGCGAGGGTTTCTCCAGGAGGACCGATGTCCTTTTTATTCCCTCCTCCGCTTCGCTGTAGGGGGCAAAGCGTCGAATGCAGCGGAAGTGCCCCAAGCAGAACGGCTCAAGATCGAAACGGGAGAACGACGCAGTCCGCTCCCCCCCGTAAATCCGACTCCAAGGCGCCCTCAGCCAGATGCGCCAGGTGCGCAGGTGTGTCTTTTCTATTCCCCCTCCCTCCCATTCCCTCCCCTGCACCCTCCCTCCCCTCCCTCCTCTTCCCCCATCCCTTTCCTCCCTCCCCTTCCCCCTCCTCTGCCGTCTTTCCCCCCTCGCTTCCCCCCTCCCCGCGCCTCCTGCCGCCCAGGAGGTGCGCCGAGGCAGCACCAAGGACAACAAGGGAGGCATCCACACCTGCGGCGCCATCGCGGACATCAGAGGGGGGAAAGGAAGAGGAGGAGGAGGAGGAGGAGGAGGAGGAGGAGGAGGAGGAGCAGCAGGAGGAGGAGGAGGAGGAGGAGGAGGAGGAGGAGGAGGGGGAGGAGGAGGAGGAGGAGGAGGAGGAGGAGGAGGAGGAGGAGGGGAGGAGGAGGAGGAGGAGGAGGGAGGAGGAGGAGGAGGAGGAGGAGGATGAGGAGAGGAGGAGGAGGGAGGAGGAGGAGGAGGAGGAGGAGGAGGAGGACGAGTAGGAAAGGCTCCTCGCCGGGACGGCTTGAGAATCTTGGTCACGACGCACCCCACGAGGCTTCCACGGCTCGACTTCGCAGGAGCTGGATGAAGAGAAGGAAGAGGATGAGGGGGAGGAGGAGGAAGAGGAGGAGGAAGAGGAGGAAGAGGACGGGGGGATGAGAACGCCCAGTTGACAGACGTGGGCAAGCATCGGCATTCCTGCTCTCGGGGGTTTCGTGCGAGTGTTCGGAGTCGTAGCCGCATCGTGGCTCGATGTGGTAATTCGTCGTTCGCTGTCGCGTGCTTGATCTCGAAGCTCGTGCACCGGACAGCGACGAGCTATCGACAAGAGGCCCCAGTGGATCGGTCGGCACACGGGAAAACAACATCTGACATCCTGGCTGGGGAACGGCGTGAAATAGTATGGTTTCTTGTTTAAGCGCAGACGCCCATACCAGAAGAGGCTAGCCAAGTTTTGCAGCTCTCCAGGTCCTGCAGGCGGCGAGCTCGCCCCCCCCTGCCCCATACCTGGCAGGCCGCTCAGGAAGCTACGAATCGCCGAGATTTGGGAAGCAGTCGAGTTTGATGATCAGGTCGGCCCTGCCAAATCGAGGGTACCCTCGTGTCCTGGGTTTAGCGGCCCATGCCTTCTGCCTTACTGGTGTAGTGCTGTCTGCGGGAGGGTCGTGTGTCCTCTCGCGTGTCCTCTCCAATCCAACTCGACCGTATCCCATGTTTTAGAGCCAGCACTGCGCATAAAGAGTATACACGTCGACACACGCGCCTTGGGTCACGCGTGGGGGCGAGAAGGTGATCGCGGTTCCCGCGGCAAGGCCCGGAGCCATAGAGTGTGCGGTTGCTGCGACCACGCGGATAAGCCAAAGGTTGTGCTGTGACGTTCGCCCCATCGTGGAGTCCACGTTGAGCGACGTGTGAAGCGGGGTCGATCGCGCCGCCAATCGCGCGTATAGTTCGCGCGTGAGCGCCCTCGCTTCCCAATGCAGCGTGCCGCGCTCGCGGCTCGCGGAAGCCGTGGCGCAAGGTCGCTATGTCGTCTCGCGTGAGACCCGTTTCTTTTTCGCCGCTCATGTTGAGGCAGAGTCCATGTCTGGCGTGGCCCACTGGAGGCAATTGTGGATCAAATTGAGGCGCTCTTCGACGGTCTGGAGGCGAATCTGGGCTGAGCAGCTGAACAGAAGGCTCTGGGGGGGGGCGCAGGCTGGTGGGGCCCTCTGAGGATGGCCAGTGGAATGCGGGGGGTTCTGGTGGGGGTCTGCACGAGCTGTCACCGCCACAACGTTTTTTGTTCTGCCAGCCTGTCTCGTTACCTGATTGTCGTTTGGAGCGGAAAGCTGCTACCCGTTTTTTTGTGAAGCCTGTGTAAGGTACCAACCATTGTCTCGTAGGGCACATCTTGAAGATGCTCCATTGTTCTCGGCCCCAGCTGTTGTGCAGAGCAAGTGCTGGTGAGCAATGGGTGCCCCGGTGGGAACCCCTCACGAGCCTCTTGGGAGTCTCTGGGGCGCATTCTGGGGGCATCCAAGGGGTCTCCTGGTGATTTTTCGGCCGTCGTGGAGGACAGGCATGGTCCCAGATGTGGCAGCCATAAGGCGGACCTGATGAATCTTTGGGCTGTCTTCGGTCCCTCAATGGACCTTTTTCCGAGATCTTGAAACTCCTCCTGGGGCCCCCTCAGAGCCAGTTTGAGCCATGGAGGCACATAGGTTCGTTGGACTTCGAATCCGAGCAACTTCCGAAAGCAACACAGCTACATGTTTCAATAGTCTTGGCCCCAAGGAGATGTCAAGGGACGTCCAGCATTATTCAGCAACTTTACAAGTCCATTCGACTGCATCGAAGGTGTGTTCAGTGAGGTCCGGGCCATAACTGGGCCCTGCATGGCGCAACATGGGACCACATTTGGGGCCTTTGGAGGCTAGCCTGCGCTGGGTACTCGAGGAGGACATTTCCCCCAGATAGGCCCGCGTTGGCCCATAGAGATGTCAACCAGATCCGGCCCTCTAAGCGTGGGCCCGCGCAAGAGCCATCAATTAATGCAACATCTCTGCACTTACCTGTGTGTAGCGAATGCAGGATCGATCACTCCGCCCCTGGCCCCTTAGTCTGCTTCCTCTCCCCCTCCTCGTCACAGAGTGCCTATGGGCCCAGCTTACTCTGAACGTCTTAAGTTTTACTGCACGTGCAATGGTCTTCCACTTTCGCACTGCAACGTTAAGCCCCGAGATGCTTGGCTGTTTTCGCTGTCGCTGGGTTCGATGATGTGGTTTTCATGTCGAGTCCTTTCTATAGATGTGATGCTCCACATCGGCTTTCCCAAGTATCATTCAGATGCTCCTCGCGAGCAGGCAGCGTTTGTTCGCGATTATTTGTACTGGCACGCGCCAAGCTCATTCAAAATATGTAAGTTATGTTCTGTCTACATATTCACATGTGTATGTATATATATATATATATATATATATATGCGCACTGTTATGACTGCTGGCGATGCTCACGTGTCCCCCTTCGCCACACTCTACCATACGATAGGTAAGAGCAGACTGTCCCATTTTTCTTGGTGCGTCCGGCTTCTCTTCCCAACCAGACCCGCACAGGAGCTCGGCGGCGAGTGTCTCAGCGGGCTGCCGACGGGGAGTGCCTGGGGAAGTAGGGCAAGGAGGCTTCCCAATGTTTCGAGTAGGCAGGCAAGCACGCGTGATCGGGCGGGGCTTCTGGGATGACTCGTTCCAGACCAGTCCAGAACGCTCCCGGAGCGCTTTGGAACGGCCGCGGCGCCCGATGCATCTTCCAGAGCTGCTGCATCTCCGAGGTCCCCACTTTGGTGGCTCCCGGTCCTGGCCTCGTCGTGTGTGCATCACGGGGCGTGCATCGCGGCAGCAGGGCCAGACAATGTTCACAACGAAGTGTACCGGCGAGGAGGATGGCAACGACCGCGGCAGCCCTGACATCGTCTCGAGTACAGTGGGATCTCTTGCCAAGAAGCACCCTGCTCGCCTCCAGGGTGCCCTGGGTTTCTTGGGTTTCGATTGTTTTGCTGTGGGAAGCGTGACGCTCCTACACCAAGCATGAATGGACGTCCTGGTGTCTCTGGGCTGGGTTTCTTGTGGACAGTTTTTTGTGGTTGACCTCCTACTGTACTGGTCCAGGTGTGCGTCTCAGGTTTGTGTTTTTGGGAGTCTTTGATTTTCGCCGAGAGGGTTTTTGGGGCGTTTCGCTGCCATCAAGGGCGAATAGGGGGTGACTGGTGGACTGTCGGCTCGGGGCGAGTGTGCCGCCAGTTGCCGCTAGCCATCTGCTGCTACTTGCCGCCTCTTTCAAGTAATCCACAGACATCTGGACTAAGAGGGGCTTACAGAAAAACAAACGTAATGATTCGAGCGTGTCGGAGAGGCTGGGCCGCCCGCGCCACCCGGGGCACCCTGGCAAACCCAGATCTCCGACGATATGAGTGCCGCCATCCGGGCGTCTTTTTCGGGTGGCCTGCATTTGGGCCCCGGGATCATCGACCATGGACGTGGTGCGGCAGATTAGCCACAGGGAAGGTTGGGGACCTCTGGGGCCGCGCATCGAAACCGCTCTCGTCGGCTGTCCAGGAGCATGGCAGCTTTCAGGGATTTGGGGTTGCTCTCTTGCTGCTCTCCTCGTCTTTCTTCCGCCTCCTGCTCCTCCTGCTCCTCCTCCTCCTCCTCCTCCTCGTCTCCAGTTCCTTGACCCTCCTCACTCGCCGTTCTGGCTGAAGAGCCAGCAGGAACCGCAGCGCGCTGCTGGCATTGCATTGTGTTCCCTCCTTTGTTGTGCAAGCCCTATAGTAGCGAGGTGCCGCACAGCTTCTCTGACGGTGGCTGCGCCCCACGCCTGCTTCGTGTCGCCGTCGCTGCTGCGCGTCGACCTGGACGTCGGCTGAATCTGACCAGACAGACTGTTGACGCTTCGTCGTGTGCTCCCAGTCCTCGGCTGAGTTGGATTGATCGGGGAAGCGTACAGTGGAAACCCGTGCCAAGGAACACCCTGCTCGCCTCCAGGGTGCCCTTGGTTTCTCTGGCTTTCGATGGCTCTGCTGCGGAAAGCGCGACGTTCCCACACCAAAGATCCACGGACGTCCTTGGGTCTCAGGGTTGGGGTTTCTTGCGGAGGGCGTCTTGTGGTCGCGCCCCCTCCTGCAGGAGGATGCCGTGGAACAGGGAGGGGGGCAGCCGTCAGGCCGAAGCTCGGGGTCGGCCCGAGCAGGCCCAGGAAAAGCAGCGAGAACAAACAGCCGTCGCAGAGGCGCCGACCGTGCTGGCCGCTCGAGGGCCCCTCGTGGGCAGGGCGCTGCTGGGGCCGCCGTCGAGGCATGCGGGGCCTCTGTGCGCTGCTGTGGAGCGAGCCTCGAAGGAGCAACAGCGGCATCGACATGCACTTTTTTGGCGCTCCGCGCGGACTTCTTGGATCCGGGCCCCCTCGCGGTGTGAGCAAGAATCACGGTGAGAGGGTTTTCTCGAAGAAGAAGAAGAAGAAGGAAGAGCGCCGTAAACATGAAGTGTTTGGCGCTCCGCGCGGATTTCTTGGATCCGCGCCTGGGCCCCCTGACGGCGCCTCCGGCGCCGCCCCTGGCGCGCACCGCGCGCGTAGGCAGGGGGACCCGACGCAGATCCAAGAAATCCGCGCGGAGCACCAAAAGCTGCTGTCTATGTTTTTGCTTGTTACTGCAGATCCCGCGGTGTCGGCAGCCAACGCTGGGGTCGGCACGGCACGAACCTGCATTGCTTGGCCTCGCCCCGCCGGAGCACTCCTGTGGCGCCTTGGGGCGCGCTGGGGGCCGTCTGGGAGCCGCTGCAGGCCCCTTCTGGGGGCTCTCGTGGGGCCACCCGTGGGGGGCGGTCTCGGGCCTCCCTTGGGGCTCTCCTGGGGCTCAGTGGGGGCCCTCATGGGGCTCCCTTGGCCTCTGTAGGTTCCACTTGTCGGCGGCGAGCGAGGGGGGGAAGTGGAAGGGAGAAGGCCTTCTCAGAAGGCGGCGGGACTTGCCAGAAGCCCTCGCGCCTTCCGAGAAGGTTTCTGTGTCTTCGGGGAAGTCTTAGGAAGCGTTTCGGAAAGCCAGGGGACCTCCGAGCCTCCTAAAGAGGCCCGTCCCTTCTCACTTCCCGCCCAGGCTTGCCGCCGATCTTGGGGCCATCTTGGGGCCATCTTGGGGCACCAATCAGAGGCCCATCAGAAGGGAGAAGGCGAGAAGGGAATGTTTCGCTGAACCATCTGTGGTGTCTGTCTGATGTCGGCCTCTGAGGGGCGTCCCTGGGAGGCTCCGAGGGTACAGTGGGAACCCACGCCCAGAAACACCCTTCTTGCCTCCAGGGTGCCCCGAGTTTCTTGGGTTGCCGCGGTTTTGCCATGGAAGGCGACACGCTCCCGCTCTAAAAATCCATGGACGTCCTGGGGTCTCGGTTCCCAGACCCCCGACGTCGTGATCTGTCCACGACGTGACCTCTCGTCGTGAGTTGTTCATGACTCGAGGGGGGTCCTGTGGGGTTTCGGTTTCTGGTTGAAGGTCTCTTGTGGTCGGGCTCCTACTTTATTTGTCTGTGGTCTGGTCCTCCCTCCTCCTCCTCCTCCTCCTTCTCCTCCTCCTCCTCCTCCTCCTCCTCCTCCTCCTCCTCCCCTTCCTCCACAATTACTCAACATGAATACTACTCTCCTCCTTCCCCTGATGACGGGTTGGGAGTGTTCGCCCCCCCCCCCGCGTATTGTTTATTTTTCACAGGGTTCCCCGGAGTTGGGTTTTCGCCTGCAGTTTTTTTCAAGATGTTGCTCTCGCTGAGGCGCCAGCCTCATTTTCGGGCCCCGCTCGTTCCGAATCGTGCTCCCGCTGCAGCGCTGGCCTCATTTCCGTGCTTCCGCTCGTTCCGAATCGTGTTTCCGCTGCAGCGCTGGCCTCATTTCCCGTGCCATGCCACGGCATGCAATGCAATGCTAGGTTGCGTTCCGCTGCGCGATGCCATGCCTTCAGCTGGAGCTGTGATATGCAGTGCTTAAGTGCCACGTCGTGCTATGCCATGCTACGCTTTGATCTTCAACGCCATGCTATGCAATCTTATGTTCGGGGCCGCTGTGCGATGCCATGCTTTGCGTTGCAAAGCTTTGTGATGCAATTCGTCACTACGCCACGCCACGCCATGCTGTGACATACTACGCTTTGCGGTGCTCTTCTACGCCATGCCATGCCGTGCTCTACAATGCATCGCGTACCCTTTCGGGATCATTGCCCATTGCCCTGCTCGACATCCGACTGTGCGAGTAGAGAGGGGATCTACTACGCCATGGTAAGGGATGGGAGGGAGGGGTAGGATGTCAGGTATGACGCGAGCGCACCTAGCTTGTCTCCCTCCCCCTCCTCCTCCCCCTCCTCCTCCTCCTCCTCCTCCTCCTCCTCCTCCTACAGTTGAAGCTGCCTACCGCCGGGAGAGGCGGGAGGCCGCGCGGCCGCCCTCGCCCGGCGGGTCTGCTGACCGCGAGACGGGGAGAGGGCACCGCCGAGAGGGCGTCCTCTGGTCCTGGCCGCGGCGGCTACAGCCAGCCTTTAAGTCGGGCGTGTCCCTCGACAGGGGGAATGCTCAACAAAATGTCCGAAACTGATGTGGGGTCAGTTTGTTTGACAATTGTTGACTATGTCTGAGTATGTCTTGACTCTGTTCTTTTTCTCGTTTGAAATCCCCCTGTAGGGGGACAGGCCCGTCCTAAGGCTACAGCCAGCCCGCACCGCGAGGACGAGCGACTTTTCCAGACCCCCTCCTGGTGCGAAGCAATCACGATGAGAGGTCTCCTCTCGAAGAAGGAAAAACGCCATGAACATAAACTTGTTGGCGCTCCACGCGGGTTTCTTGGATCCGCGCCTGGGCGCCCCGGGCGGCGCCTCGGGCGCCGCCCCTGGCGCGCACCGCGCGCGTAGGGAGGGGGGTACGACGCAGATCCAAGAGATCCGCGCGGAGCGCCAAACTGTTCTGCTTATGCAGGTGTTTTTTTTTCTTCTACTCGAGTCATGACGAAAATCAGGACGGAAGTTGTTTCGCTATTCCCGGCCTCTGGGGAGGCCCTTACCAGACCTCGCGACCGCCCAAAAAAACGATGCAGGGGTCGCACCATGAAAAAAACATGACGTCGGGGGCCTGGGCAGACAGCCCGCACCGCACGGGTGAACGACTTGCCAAGCCCACCCCTGCATCCTTGCCCCTTCGGCCCATCCTCGGTGACTTTCGCTGGCCAACCTCGTTCGAACAGCGCTACCATGCATGGCCCTCCAAGGCCCTTGCATCCGTACCGCGCGTCCTTACCAGACGGGTCAACTGCATCCTCTGTCTCTCAGGTGGGGAAACACACGCAGACACAAATAATCGTCCATCCCCAGGAAGATCTGGGAAACTGTGGGGAGTGGGGGGGGGAAATCCTGGGAGAGGTGGGGAGGTATATGATATATGGGGGAGTCCTGGGAGTCTCTGAGTTCCGACGTTGCAAAAAAGAAGGCAACATCGCAAAACAAAATCACGACCAGACACCTGGACCCCATCGTTCTGCGTCATGTTTCCAGCCGGATCTATCTGTGAGGGTCTTGGGGCTCGAAATTGAGCGAAAACGCTCGTTGTGAAAGAAATGCAACGCCAGCATCGCAGGGTTTGTGTCTCTTTGTTCGTGTGTCCCTGGGTCCCCTCCAGTCTTAAGTCGTCCATGTCCCTCTACAGGAGGACTACTCAAGAACAGTCAAGAAATAGTACGGGGACGATTATTCGTGCTCTTTTGGCTATTCGATCACTTTTGGATAGCTTGAAATTCTGTTCCAAAATCCGGATGTAGGAGGACATGCCCGACCTACCTCCAGTCTCCTCGCTCCCGGCGTTCCTCGCCCCGTATTTCCCGGGGTGGTGCGGCGGGCGCGCGCAAACGACGCATGCCAGCGCGGCTGCGCTCCCCGCACGCACGCAGCGCGGGCGTGCGAGAGGCGGAGCGCCGCTCGGCAACGGCCAGCATCCCAGACCTCCTCGAGTCCTCCTCCTCCTCCTCCTCCTCCTCCTCCTCCTCCTATTCCTATTCCTCCTCCTCCTCTTCCTCCTCCTCATCCTCCTCCTGCTCCTCCTCCTGCTCCTCCTCCTCCCCCCATTCCTCCTCCTCCTCCTCCTCCCTTCCTCCTCCTCCTCCTCCTCCTCCTCCTCCTCCTCCTCCTCCTCGTCCTCCTCCTCCTCGTCCTCCTCCTCATTCTCCTCCTCCTCCTCCTTTTTCACCTCCTCCTTCTTCTCCTCCTCCTCCTCCTCTCCTCCTCCTCCTTCCTCCTCCTCTCCTCCTACTCCTCCTCCTCCTCCCCCTCCTCCTCCTCCTCCTCCTCCTCCTCCCCCTCCTTCCTCCTCTTCCTCCACCAGCAGGTGCGGCTTTTTGCCACTGGAGCGGCGGGAGGAAGCTGATGTATACGTCTTCGCCGGCGTTCGCGCGTATCCCAGACCCCCTCGAGCCATGACAAAGATGACGACTCGGAGAAGAAAGAACGCCACAACCAGAAACCTGTTGGCGCTCCGCGTGCGTTGATTTCTTGGATCCGCGCCTGGGCCTGCCTGGCGGCGCCTATGGCGCAACCCCCGGCGCGCTCCGCGCGCCAGGGAGGGGTGTCCAGCGCAGATCCAAGAAATCTGCGCGGAGCGCCAAAAGTTTCTGCTTATGTAGTTGTTTCTTTTCTTCGATTCGAGTCATGACAAAGTCAGGACAGAAGGTCTTTCGCTATTTCCGGACTCTGGGGGCCCTCACCGTGCCTCGGGGCCGTCACAAAACGACGCAGGGTGAAACGCCGGCCTTGGGGAACGGGTCCGCATCTCTGGGGGGCCGCGCGATGAAGAACTCACGGCGTCGGGGGTCTGGGATTGGAGGCTCAAGAGACGGGGGCCAACGGGTCTGGATTGACCCGGGTCAGTAGATCCCCAGAGTATGGAACGGCATGGCGATCGAAAGCCGCTGATCGTTCCGTTGCAGCTTCGGGGGACCTCGCCTGCCCCCCCAAATGGGTGTCGTTTCTAGGGCCCGGCGCGGGCTCGATGCGGGCTCGGCGCGGATTGGGCGCGGGCATTCGACGCGGGTTCGACACGGCTTCGACACGGCTTCGACGAGTCCGACACGGATTCGACGCGGATGGGGCCGCGACGTGACATGCCAGGGCCCCCGAGGATGCAGCGTAATGATCGTTCCCGGGTGGACGGTCCAGGCGGTGTCAGAAGCCCCATCCTCGGGGTGGTCATGGCACGAGCCCGCCGTGCCCGAGCAGATCCGCGCGGGAGTCGTTGGCCGCAGATCCTCCTCTCTGCGAAGGGCCCGCGGGAGGCATGCGGGAGTTAGACGGGTCGGCTCCGCCGGCGGAAGGCGGCGGAAGCACAGGTGAGACTCTATCTGCCAGTGGCGAAGCGTCCCTGCTGGCCTGTAGGCCCACCCAAGAAATTCTGGTAACCCTCTGTGGTCTGCACGAACTATACTCAGTACGGTCTTGGCTGAGACTGTCCTGTTTTAACACGTCGGAGCGGGTTTTTATGTTCTAAGAACATTGCTTTTGTTATGAGAGCATTTGGGGTTTTGAAGAACATTTCATAGTAGGTCTATAGGTCTCCCAGGCCTTCTATATTGCTTCCGGATCGATAGGGTCGGTGGATCGCGCCGCATCGCCGATGCGTCAGCGATGTGGCTCGACGTGGAGCCTTACTTTCTCCACACCGGCGTCGCTGGCGAGCCGCCGACGACGCCGGTGTATCGCCGATGCATCGCCGATGCACCGCCGACGCATCGCCGTTCGCCGATGCATTGGCAATGCGGCGCGATCGTTTGACCCCATCTACTCGGACCCCATCTAGGAGGCCTCCAGAGACGCCAACATGTTTGGGCTCGGGGCGTCCGGAACATGCCACAGCTGTTGCATCTCGAAGCGCTCGGGCATCGGCTCCGCACTCGGTGGGCTTGCACAGGTTGCTTCAGACGTGTTCCGTTCGCGACGTGCACGGTGAGCTGCAGGGCGGCGGAGAGAGTGCGGCGTGGGAGGACAGACGAGGCTGGAGACGTCAGCAAGGTCAAGCTGTTCTGCTGCCGCCGAGAGGCCTCCCGCGGCCTCGCTCTCTGCGCGGGCAAGGCGACGGTGGGATTCGCAGGTAGGTGGTAGCCGCCCGATGCGGATGATGGGGGGAGGGGGAGGGGGAGGAGGAGGAGAAGGAGGATAATGAGGAGTATTAGGAGGAGGAGGAGGAGGAGGAGGAGGAGGTGGAGGACGAGGACGAGGACGAGGACGAGGACGAAGAGGAGGAGGAGGAGGAGAATCGGAAGAGAGTCGGTCGAGGCAATGGCGGCTCTCCCTTTCGTCCTTCTCGGGCCTCCTGGAGGCTTTTCGTCTCCATGGCTGAACCCGCCATCAACGCAAACGGGGGTCAGTCAGAGCGCCAGATCTTGCAGTATCCTGCAGGACCAGGGGCGCACTGACCCAGGCTTCGGCACAGGATCTTGCAGGACCCTGCAGGGTTCTGCAGGATCCTGCACGGCCGGATTGACCCGGGTCTGGATTGACCCGGGTCGGAAGAGATCCCCGACTCCTTCTCCGCCACAAAAATACATACGCGCACATCCTCCAGTGGACTGCCTCTGGGCCTCGGGGGGAGGGTGGCGGTGTACAGATATCACCTGCGGGAGCCAGCGACTCGATACGCCGCCGCCCTCCTTGAAGGTGCATGCGAAGTTCGTCGCAGGGTGTTTGGTTATGATGTTCCAACCCAGTTTAGCTTCGACCACCACAAATTATTTCGAGCACCAACAACAAGAAAGTACCGAAACTTGAGGACTTTCACGTGTAGGGCCCTGGGAGGCGATACTCGTTCGACACCTTTTCGGCACCTTTCTGGGTGCTCGAACTTATTTTTTGGATGTGGTCCTTAAGTGCGATGGGAACAAGAGACTCTGTGTCCCTCAATAGTTCTGGGTCCCCGGACTACAAGTACCCCCCGGACTACAGATACCCCCGTCCCGAACAACAGGTATACTGTATACCCCTCCCCCGGATTACAGGGACTCCCCCCCCGGACTGCAGGTACCCCCCTGGACTACGGGTACCCCCACAGGACTACAACTGCAGGTACCCCCCCCCCCCGGACTACAGGTACCCTTCCCCCAGACTACAGGTACCCCACCCCGGACTTTTGGTACCCCCTCCGACGACCCTGACCTTCTAAAAATTATCCCAGAGCGACCCTACCTAGGAGTTGGAGCCCCGGGGAGAGCAATATTAGTAGTAACGGTAAATGCCGTCCTCCTCGTTCTCCTCATCGACGCAGTTGTAGCAGTAGCGGTAGTAGTAGTAGTAGTAGTAGTAGTAGTAGTAGTAGTAGTAGTAGTAGTAGTAGTAGTAGTAGTAGTAGTAGTAGTAGTGGTAGTAGTAGTAGTAGTAGTAGTAGTAGTAGTAGTAGTAGTAGTAGTAGTAGTAGTAGTAGTAGTAGTAGTAGTAGTAGTAGTAGTAGTAGTAGTAGTAGTAGTAGTAGTAGTAGTAGTAGTAGTAGTAGTAGTAGTAGTAGTAGTAGTAGTAGTAGTAGTAGTAGTAGTAGTAGTAGTAGTAGTAGTAGTAGTAGTAGTAGTAGTAGTAGTAGTAGTCGTAGTAGTAGTAGTAGTAGTAGTAGTAGTAGTAGTAGTGGTAGTAGTAGTAGTAGTAGTAGTACTAGAAGTAGTCGTAGTAGTAGTAGTAGTAGTAGTAGTAGTAGTAGTAGTAGTAGTAGTAGTAGTAGTGGTAGTAGTAGTGGTAGTAGTAATGGTGGTAGTAGTAGTAGTAGTAGTTGTTGTTGTTGTAGTAGTAGTAGTAGTAGTTGTAGTAGTAGTCGTTGTCGTCGTCGTCGTCGTCGTCGTCGTAGTAGTAGTAGTAGTAGCAGTAGCAGTAGAGCTTAATTCATAATCTGCATCTCGACCTACATCCACATCTACACCTACAGCTACATCTACATGAACACATGCTATGCTGCGCTACGCTAGGCTGCACTATGCTATGCTATGCTGTGCTATGCTATGCTGCGCTATGCTATGCTATGCTATGCTATGCGATGCTGCGCTATGCTATGTTATACTGTGCTATGCTATGCTGCGCTGTGCTATGCTAAGCTAAGCTATGTTATGCTATGCTATGCTGCGCTATGGTATGATATGCTATGATATGTTATGCTATGTTATTCTGCGCCAGACTATGATATGATATGCTATGATATGCCATGCTGCGCGAGGCTATGCTATGCTATGCTATGATATGTCATGTTATGTTTTACTATGCCATGCTATGCTAATGCTGCGCTAAACCAAGCTAAGCCAAGATAAGCTAAGCTAAGCCCGGCTAAGCTAAGCTAAGTTAAGCTAGGCTAATCTAAGATGGTATAAGCAAAGCTAAGCTAAGGGGGCGCAACTGGGGGAACCGCCCGGGCCGGTTCCCACTGCCCGGCCCTTGAAGCCAAGAGAGTAAGAACCCTTCTTGGCAGAGCCTAGGTAGGGAAATATCCCTCCAGACCTATAGACCTATCTGGACTGCCTAAAACCTCGACAGGAATGAAAGTGCCGATGTCCTGGTGCTATGTGTTGCCCTCCTGGTAAAGGTACCCCTCCCCCGGACTACGGGTACCCTCCCCGGACTACAGGTCATACCCCCAATCATTTTTGAGGGGCACAGAGTAGAAGTGTCTGTTTCTATGCTCGTGGCGCAGCTCCGCCTCCGCCCCCGGAAGGGGGGCGGGATGCATGCCGCAGCTATCAGCGCGCGTCCGCGAGCCGCCGCGGCCGGGCGATCCGCTGGCTCCCGGCCGCACGACCATGGGTCGGAGGTGTGCCCGGAGATTTCGCCGACGCTGCAGGTCGGAGGTGGGCAGACCTACCTTGACACGTCGATTAGCGAATTGGCCGCTTTCGGTTCGCGAGAGGGCGTCGCGGCCGTCATTTTTGCGGGTCCAGGTTCGTCGGTTTCGGTCCCAGGCCGTTTTCACTGAGGGGAGATTTGCTAAAGGTTGGTCTGTCCACCGCCGATTTAGGGTTTTGGGAGCCTTGAGACGGGAGTCAGTGCAAACGGGGGTCAGCCAGAGCGCACGATCTTGCAGGATCCTGCAGGGCCAGGGTCGCATTGGGTTTGGGCGCAGGATCTTGCAGGATGTTGCAGGATGCTTCGCGTTGTCCCGGATTTGGGTGTAGGATCTTGCAGGATCTTGCAAGGCCTGATTGGTCGGGGTCTGGATTGACCCGGGTCAGAAGAACCCCGAGGGTTAAGTCGGGCCTGCCCCTCTACAGGAGAGTCAGGGGACGATGTGTTGAGAGTTTTTCCTTTGTGTTTTTGAATGCTCTCGGGGTATGTTTTACTTTCGTCCCAAATTTGGAGGGTGAAAGAGGGGATCTGCAACAGAGGGTCTTCAATGGGGGCTGAATGGCCCATGCATGCTCAATGTATCGCTCATGTATGTGATCGGGTATGATTGGCATCCAATGTTGGCGGTCATGAGGGCCAGTCGTTCGTGCCCGCGCGTTGCCCGCGTGGGCAAACGCGCCGTCCATCCATTATCGTTCTTGCGCATTGCGCGTGGGGCGGCGAAGTGGAGTGCAAGTGTGTCTTGATTGTGCGATTGATGATCGCGTATGTTCCCAACCGATGACTTGTCGACCCCCAAGGCAGATTTGGAATGGGCCCCGCGATTCTCCCAAAATGTGGATTCACATGTTCCTTTCATCCAAAAGGTGATTTCACATTTTGTTTTTTCCACTCTGAATTCTGGCCCCGTTCACAAAGATTCCTAAACAACATTCCAACATGTGAATTCACAGGTTCCTCTTTTCCCAAGATGTGAACTCACATTCGCCTTTTCCCAACATGTGAATTCACATGTTGTTTTCCCCGCAATGTAAATTATCATTTTGCCCTGGCCTTCAAGATCCCCAGCACTGAGGCGCAGTGTTCCGCATGTCAGATTGGCTGAGCAGATTTTGACACTGACCTCACCGCTTTCGTTTATTGAAACCTTTTTGTTTGCGCCCTCCGCGCACGTTGCCTTGGTCGCATTTCCCGAGCCCCCCGCTCCCTGCTTCGTTTACCCTCAAGTCTCGCGCATGGGTGCAGGCGGGGAGCTTCAATGGGCTCCCCCGCCGATCACAGCAAACGAGAATGTATCGCCCATGCGTGGCCCATAATGGCACCATTGCCGGGACCCTGCGCCCGACCCCCACTTTCACCCTTCAACAAATCCGCCTGGAGGGGGGCACGCCCGACCTGACTTTCGGGTGCAACTCCTGGGAGGTCAACTGCAGAGTCGGCGCTGGCGCTGGTGCGTCCCTGGTCGGAAACTGGCCGCTAACCAGGCTCAGTCCCCATATCAGAAAGAGCGTGTTCTACCGCTGCTGGCGGAAAACCGGGGGGGGTCACTACCGGTTCGAACCCCTCCGCCCCCCCCTCCCCCCCCTTCCGGAAAACCGGGGGGGGTCACTACCGGTTCGAACCCCTCCCCCCCCCCCCCCTGCTCATCATGAAAAGGGGGGGGGGTCACTACCGGTTCGAACCCCTCCCCCCCCCCCCCTCCGGATCCGGAAAACCGGGGGGGGGTCACTACCGGTTCGAAGCCCCCCCCCCCCTCGAAAACCGAGTGGGGGTGCGGACAGTGGTGGGGACGGTGTTGGTGGGGACAGTGGTGAGGGGATAGCGGGACAGTGGTGGGGACAGTGGGACAGTGGGACAGTGGTGGGGACGGTAGTGGTGGGGACAGTGGTGGGGACAATGGTGGGAACAGGGGGGGACAGTGGACAGTGGTGGTGACGGTGGTGGTGGGGACAGTGGTGTGGGGACAATGGGAATGAGGTGGAAACAGTGGGACAGTGGAGGGTACAATGGTGGTGGGGACAGTGGTGAAGGCGGTGGCGAGGACGGCGGTGGGACAATGGGACAGAGGTACAGTGGGGACAGTGGTGGGGACAGTGGGGACAGTGGTGGGAACAGTGGGACAGCTCAGTGGGACAGCGGAGGAGTCAGTGGGACAGTGGGGACAGTGGGGATAGTCGGGCAGTGGTTGGGGCCGTGGAGACAGTGGGGAGAGTGGAACCGTGGTGGGA